AGTACAACGAGTTTCATCCGTCCTCATCTGGTGAGATCGACCAACGAATCTCTTCTTCGTGCACTTTCATCTTAAATGAAGGTCCCCCTAAAAGGATATATTTCAGTTTATTAAGGGCTATGGTCAAATTGCTTAGGCTAATTCAAGAGAACTGGGGTAGAAAGAATTGTATACTTGCGTGGAATTGAAAATATATGGCTCCACTAGGGTAAATTTACACACTACCATAATGAACTTTCTCAATATATGACAAATGAATATGAGAATCATATTTTCAGATTGATTCAATTCCAGATTCAACCATTAATTACTCAAGCTAGTTGTTCCACTAATGCTTTTATTTTGGTTGTAGATGAAAAGGTGCGGATTCATTAGTATTTAAAACTAATTTTTTCAAAGCAAACAAACCTAACTGGTATTGCAACCGCATCATTTCATAACAGTTTTATCCTGCATTTTTCTAATTTCCATTATCAGACGAGACCAGCTCACAGATCCAACAGGTGCAGGGTCAGACAACTGTAACCCTGGCAGGCTTGCTTGCCTACACCAACTACACCGTTCAGGTGGCGGCAAGTAACAGGAAGGGTCGTGGCCCTGCCTCACCTCGGCTCACCTGTCAAACCATGGAAGCACCCCCAGATCCTCCGGGTTAGTTTTTCCTCTCCCATCTTTTATCGTCACCTCGTTTTCCCTACTTGCCATCTTACTCGTCCCCACTGTACACTGCACTTACTTTTACTATTGGAACTACGCCAAACAGACTAAGGTAAGTTATACATATACATCTAATTTTTCGCATTCACATTGGCCTTCTGATGTTAGTGGCTTAGTTTTATGGGTGTTTTAATAAAGCAAATAAATTGGCTGGAAATTGAAGAATTCAAGGCGTTTAAGGAACTCTTTGGTGATATGATGAATCGGAAAAATTTTATTGCATTAGCTACGCTGCAAATAGAATTCTATTTTGGGCAAATATAAGTCCTCAAATGGCAAAGGAGAGATTTGAATAAAAACTGGATTTTGAAGAATTCCTTATTGAAATAGTGTGGCATGACCCGCCATTTCGAAGGAAAAGTTGATTGGAAGGAATTCATGATACGGTCTTACCGGAACCCTAAGGAGGATTGTCGCGTAAGGAAGACCGTTTAATTGTGCGGAGAAGTCCTCGGCTCACCGTCCTGCGACCCCGATGAAACTGCAAAAATATACTAAACCAAGAAAAGAAGGTGGCAGGCTGTGACCCTATTCGCTTTTTATACGCCTAACATCGCGATCTTAATGAGGCATCCCAAGATTTAGCTAGCTATTTCAATCTTACTCTACATACTTATAAATGAGTGTAGTTAAATTTCCGAACCTGAAATGCGTTCGGCGACAGCTGTTTCATCACAAAAACTAGCGTAAGTTGTGTGGATCCAAAAATCTGAGCTCACTGAACACATTCTGCCAATACAGGACACTCAATAGACTGGTCCAAAATGCAGCGTTTTGCGTTTTACGGGGACTTTACGTCAAAGCGTAAGATTAGGGAGCCTATAGGAATTAGCAAAACAACCAACGTCCCAAATAGGAGGAACGAGTGTAGAAAAGTGTGTAGGAACTTCTTGTGGCTGTTGGATAGACTAAAGGAAAGAGAGAGAGAGGGGGTGCAGGAAAAGCCACTGAGCAAGAGAAGGCGGCTTGTTTAGCCTCGGGTCTAGCTAGGACTATCATACTACTCATGACTTGAGCATTACATACACAAAATAGACAATAGCACAAACACAAACATGATTCAACATTAGGCGATCGTGTCCTAGCTTTTTTGTGTAATGAAACTGTTGTCGCCGAACGCACTTCCGGTTCAGGAAGTTAACTTCACTCATTTGCAAGCATGTAGATCAAGGTTGAAGTAGCCAACCAAATCAGGGATGGCCTCATTAAGATCGCGATGTTGGGTGTTTAGAAAACGTAACTAGAGTTTCAGCCGGCCACCTTTTTTCTTGGTTTAGTATATTTTTGCCATACTTCGTAAAGTATGGAATCTTGCTCTGATGATGTCTTTCACAGTGCCGAGGAAAACTTAGCGCAGGTTCATCGAGGTCGCAGGACGATGAGCCGAGGACTTCTTCGCACAATTCAACGGTCTTCTTTACGCGACAATGCCCTCTCGGTTTCCGGTGAGACCACATCACGAATTCCTTCCAATCAAATTTCCCTGCGCAATGGAGAGTCATGCTACAAAAGGAGAGATTTCTCGTTATATTATTTTCCAAAATAA